CGCTAGTTTTTGGAATTCGGCATATACCTCATTAACGTCATTCTGCTCCTCTTTGGAAAGTATTTGACAGCTTTGTTGTATCCAATTCCGAATACTGTTGATAGCTTGAGTTATCGCCGTAAAGATTTGAACGACATTTCCAATTGTGGCTATAGTCTCTGTTGTATTCATTGAATGATTTAATTTTTGTTTGAGTGTATGGCAAGTGTTACGTTTGAAGATTTTGGATCAATCATCAATAAATAGATATAAGCTAGACTAGGGGTGGCACTTTAACTTTAAACTTTAAAAGTTAAAGTGGTTAAAGTTAAAGTAAAACACTTTAACTTTAAAGTTAAAGTTAAAGTATTCTACTTTAAACTTTAAAGTTAAAGTTACAGCAAGTTTACTCTAATGTTTAACTTTAAAAAATTTAAAGTTAAAGTAGATTTTTTCGCAATAAATATTTTTTCGTAAAAAAAACTATTTTCTTGTTAAAAAATTCTTTTTTTCATAAAAAAGTTATTTTTTCATAAAAAAATAATTTTTTTGCGAAAAAATAATTTTTTGCGGAAAAATCTACTTTAACTTTAAATTTTTTAAAGTTAAAGTTTAAGGTATGCTTGTTTTTACTTTAACTTTGAAGTTAAAGTTAAAGTTTAAGGTATGCTTGTTTTTACTTTAACTTTGAAGTTAAAGTTAAAGTAACCATACTTTAAACTTTAAGTTAAAGTTTAAAGTTGAAGCATGCTACTTTAAACTTTAACTTTAAAGTTTAAAGTGGATACTTTAATCTTTAAAGTTAAAGTTAAAGTAACATACTTTAACTTTAACTTTAAAGTAAAGTTAAAGTGCCACCCCTAAGCTAGACCGCTTCATCTCGAAAGTTGACTTATTATAGAGGTAAACATTTTATTCGGCAAATTCCATGTGAAACCTTTTTCGTATGCGTGCGCTCTATCTGTATATCAAAATTTACTTTTCTTTGTTATCATATTCAAATAAAAAGATAAAATTAAAATTTGACGTCGGTACTTTTTTCTTGCCACCACTGATCGAGATTATTCACCGACGACTAAAACTTTCCTGTGTCAATAAACAATATCATCGCTCAGGGAAAAAAACAATAGTTCTTGTTTTGAAGTGAGTTACGTATATTTTTTCAATCTCCAATGTAAAGCTGTGTATATAGTTTTTCTGCGTCTGTTAAAAAAAGTGACGGTCGTGGTTAGGGGAGTTGATTTGCATTTAATTTATTATAAAGGGTGTGGGTGTGTGTGGGTGTGGGGTGTGGGTGTGGGTGGGTGTGGGTGTGAGTCAGATTAAACAGAATATCAAAACCCACCCATGCTCACACCCACATTTAATGCGGTGCAAAGCACAGCATTGATTTTTACTGTAATAAAATCTGTACCTTGTCCCGAAATGTTCTAGAGTACGGTAAGTTGATAGAAATTTGTTCGAACTATGTCAGAGAGATAGATATCTTGAGATTATTCCAACGATTTTGAATCTTCAATACGAGTTTTTCTTCTTCTTCAGTAGTGTTCTACAAAATACTGATTTTGACGATTTGGCCTTTATCATTTACCCGAAATTATTAAAATTGATGAACTAGTCTCCAATTAGTTGTTGTGCGTAGGAGAAATAGTAGCAACCTTGGACAGGACAGGATCGACTCTTGGTAAATTCGTTTATCATTTTTACTTTCTAGACATAAGCATTCAAAGTTATAATTTTCTATTGCGATAATCTCGAGAACGGAGAATGAAAAAATACATAGAGATACGTGCTTGTACTGTTTTATCCATGCATTGAAGAAAGTAATCGACATATAGGATGTCTTTTTTCGTACGAAATTCTTATAACTATTTGAAATCAAAACTAAGCATACCTCTTCAGGTCTACAGCTTTGTTACGCTATCAATAGCAAGAGTAAAAAAAACGATTATTGCAGTTCCAGAAAAGAGCCTGATATTCATCGCATAGCAAAGGTATATTATTGAGGTGACATAACTTGTTTTGATTTCAAATATAAGTCTCCTACGGACAAAATTCTCTACATGAAATTCCTATTCAAATAGAATATCTGATGAAATTTGCACTGCCCTTGCAAATGATATATCAAGTAATAAAATTAGGTAAATATTACTCTTTTGAAAAAGCGTAGTCGAATAATTTTGAAAGAATGAAAAGCGTTGTGCTGTGATCAGATCAACGGATTGTTCCAAATGAAAAATTTTAAACCATCAAATATGACATCTACCCAATTATTAGCGTCAGAAAAGATGATCTAAAAATATAGTTGCACTATAAGTTAGAAGTATTAATATTTGATCGATTAATCATTTGTCTTATTCTCTAGATAGAAAGATTTTTGTACTAATTTAACTAATAATGTAAGCTTAATGAATAAAGAACTAAATAATTCATAAAGTTGTTTTTAAATTTAACTAGATTTTATTCATATATTTCATTATTGAAAAGGCTAAAAGAAAACAAAGATAATTATTAGATATGGTATATCCTTCAAATGAAGTTTTATTACTATTATATCACAAAATTTTCACGAAAAATTTCATTCACTATAAAATTCAATTCAAGATTCTTATAAGAAGTTGACTGAACTCTGCAAACTTCTCCTCTCAACAAGGAAACAAAAAATTTCAAGAAAAGAAAAAAAACACTTGGAATATATATATATATTCAATAATCAAACTCGTTTTTACGTATTATATGATAAACAAATATTCTGTTAAGTCTGATATTTACCATCGGAAACGTTTTTTATCATTATATGGTAGACATTGATTTGAATTTTCAATACTATTATCACCACAATCATTATCTAAGCCACATTCATATGATGCTGATATACATCTGTCATGATTACATGTGTGATTGCCATGATTTAATTCATTACTATCATCAGAACATTGTTGATAACTATCACGAAAAAATTTCTAGAAACAAAAACAAAACTTAATAATTTTTTTTTGTTTAAAAACTATACTAGCATAGGTAAAGATGGAGTACAACTACAATGAAATGTTCCTGGCATACAACGGTATGCACAATTTTCTTCATCTAAAATATGCAAATAGATTTTTTTCTTCAAAATAAATTCTCACCTGAATTATCATCACAATCATCCATTCCTCTTGAAAACTCAAAAGCCATTAATCAGTTGGAATATGTCTCTCGTCAAACATATAACTCCGTCGAATTTGAAAATTCTACCCATGATTTTCTCAAAATGTCAACACAGTAAACTACGAAAGAGATTTTGCTTATTATTTATAATATTTTTTACTTTTCTAATATACAAAAAGTTAAATTTACCCTCGATTTTCTATCTTGTACTTTACCTTTAATTATAAATACATGAAGATTTCTATGCTTTGAAAAATAAGAATTTTTTTTTTGTTTTTAAAATATCAACATACTCTAATTTTTCTAAACGTTTATCAATTATTAAATCTACTAATCCAGTTACATCAGTATCAATAATTTTAACAAAATTAATTCTTTCATTATGTACTTTTTCCCAATCTGAATCAAATAAATCAGCAACTAATAGACCAACAGCAAGATAATTTGGTTGTGATAAATATCTTGAATTAAGTAATGTGATGCTATAACAACCATCTAATTCAGTAGAAAATGCATTTGATTATCTTTTATTATAACTGTTGATTGTGTTCTATTGAATTTCATTCGAAAAGTTTTATCACTATATAATTATTGAGAAAAATTGTTTACTCCACTTGATAGAGGCACTTTGATCAAAACAGAATGATGATCAGACGACTCTTATTTTATAACTTCAGCTTCTCAATCGGATGCACCATGTGTAATTCCAGAGTCAATTACTACAGAAGATCTTTGAAACATGGGTTAGTTGGAATGAGTCGTCTTACAGCAAATACTATATAGACAACTTTTCGCATAAGATCAACTGGCATTAATTTGGCTGTAAAGGTAAGCAATATGTAAAGCTCATGTACGTACGATGGCAAACGACGATGCACAGTGATCTACGTTGGCTGAATATGGTATAAATATGATGTATGTACGGTAAAAATGCGGTCGTAAAGACGCCGTAATTGAGCTGTATACGAACATCGCAGCTATGTGTCTCGATGATACAAATGAGAATGGTTTTTACAATGACTTTCATTTCAAAAAAAATTCGCCACAATATAAATATAAAAATGTGTCTATGATACATATTATAACCATTAATCAAGAACATATTGATAAATCAATCGATGACCCAGATTGAACTACCTCGAAATCATCTAGTCAGGATCATATCAATTTGATGTGACTAGATCTTAGAATCTTGCCGTCTTGTACTTCAAGAGTAGTTGCTAATAGTTCAAGTTAAACTGGAAAAATAGTAATTATTCAAGTTTCCAAAAACAAAAAACTACGAGACTTGCCGAAGAAGAAACTTAAATCATGTTTTCCGAATGTATCCTAACGAGTACCTCCCTTTGCAAAATACGAAAAACATTGAAAACAAAAAAGAACTGTTCCTTTATTTTTGGCCAAAAAGTCTTTCGGATACACGCTGATTATACCTTATAGACAATGAAATTATAGAGATAATTAAATGATCAACCGATAATGTTCTTAAGAAGAATGTTGACAAGCATTTATAGAGCTTTCGTTGTAGTGAGTTTCACTATGACAACTTTTCACATTGATCTTGACTTTGATCAACTAATTGTTTGAATCCAGTAAAACGTGAACATCTTTAGCGCAAGAGTGATTTACAATGGATCCTAAGAAACAATGAGTCTTTTTTTCGAAAATTGAGAGAATCTCGAATACCATCTAATCTTTTCTTCATCGTAACTTTGCTGGATAATGTCGTGTACAGTTCAACACGGTACATAAACAGCCGCATATGGACCTTATCGTTCACATGTTAATACGTGTTACTGATATTAAAATTTCAACATTTCCTCTATCAGATTGTATGAAAGCTATATATTTTGAAGCTTTATTTTCCGTACGTTTACTAACTCATACTAGGTAATCGTTGAATACTGTTATATAGGCATATAATTATTCGTATTATGAACACAACTGTGAATTTAACCTCTAATTTTTACTATACAGTAAAATCTCTTCTTAAAAAAATGTGCTCTCACATGCAATTCGATATTATGATCATGAATTTTTTTTTATAGAAGCTAGTCGAGTTGAGTTCTTTGTAAGCTCGTTCTATAACTGTATTCTGGTTATACGTCACTACTCCAATTTTAAAAAAAGAATGCTTATAAAATTTGATTCCTTTTTGTAGATATTGAAGCGTTTCTTCGGGCAAAAATTACCGATTTCTTTAACAAACTATTGACCTGTCTCTGGTATTCATAGTTTATTTTAGTTTTCTCTTTAACAAAATTAATAATTTAGATTTTTATATTTAAAATCAAAGAAATTAGAGAGACAATTAATTCTCTCAACTGATTAAAATTTTAGACAAATTTTCATAGGAGTTGTGAAGTGAAAAATACAAACTGTTAGAAGATTTACTATTAGTGAAAAAGAGATAAAATAGGTTAATTTAAACATTTATTGTTCTCCTAACAAATTGATCTTCTCTCATTCATAATTACAAAAATCTTAAACAATGCATCATAATCAACATTGAAATAATTTTTATACATGAAATTCAATATTATTAATAATCGTATAGTTTTTATTTCGAAGACAAAAAAAAAGAAAAGAAAAGAAAAGAAGAATGCGAAGGCCAATGGTCAATAGACAAAACAAAAACGAATATATCCGTCACTGTCGCACTCAAAATGAATTTTTATACACATATGCAAAAGAAAAAGAAGAAAAGCATATTGTCCCACCGGTGCTAAGCAAATAATTAAAAAAAACAAATGCTTGCATATTGCACGGGACAGTAAAAACCAAATGAAAATTAGTCTATCTGAATTGATGTTGTTGTTGTTGTTGATATTGTTGTTGTGGTTGTTGTTGCTGTTGATGATGATGATGATCTTTTCTAAATTGTTTTGCATCAAGTTTTTCACGTTCTTTAGCTTGTTTTTTTGTTTTATATCGATGATTTTGAAACCAAATTTTAACCTTGAAAACAAAAACGTTTTCTTTTTTTTTTTATTAAAAATATTAAATTCAACAAACTTGTGTTGGTGTTAATTGAAGAATATTTGCAAGATTTTCACGTTCAGGTGCACTTAAATATTTTTGTTGTTTAAAACGTCGTTCTAATTCATAGATTTGTCCTTGATTAAATAAAATACGTCGTTTACGTTTTTGTGATACAAATGGAAATTGTGCATAAGCAGATTTCATCATTGGATCTTGATGATGTCCATAAACACTTGCTGCTAATGCTGCACTATCAACAGCTGATGATGAACCAACTAAATATCGAGACACTAAAATATAATAATTTTGTTTTTTTTGAATAATATCTTTATTTTAAAACAAAACTATTTACTTGCTGCTGATCCATACCAACATGAACTTGGTGAATATTGTCCAGTTACTGTATTTGTATTACCACCATTTTGTAATGTACTACTATAATCATAATATTGATTATTAGGAGAAAATGCTGATGTTGATGTTGCTGTTGGACCATAATAACTACTATGTACGGATGATGGTCCAAATGATGGATTACATAGACTAGCTGATGTAGCACTTGTTGATGAACGTTGAGAATTATATATTGATGATGATGATGATGATGCGGCTAAAGCATGTGCCATTTCAAGTGAACGTTTATAAGGTGTTGATGCATCAATATCTAATGGTTGTAAAATATCTGTTACACTAAATGGCATACCAGTATTCGTACCGACTATTGATGGAACCATTGAAGAAGGTGTTGAACTTCGTTTTATAGGACTAAAAAATAATAATAATAATAATAATACATGATTATTTAAATTTTATTCTATAATAAAAATCTTAAATAGTTTAGAAATGTAGATATTTGTCAAGTTCAAAGAAACTTAAAAATAAGTAGAATAAAAATTTCTTCTTCTTTTTTTTTTTTTGTCAAATAACAATTCAATAATGCATTAAATTTGTTCAAGATTCTTTTTTTATTTTCTTTGTTAATGATTAAATTGCGACATTTTATTTTATTTTTTTTTTCTTCGTAATAAATGATTTTCATAGAGAGTTATTATTAAAATGAAGAGTGAATGATTGTATGTTTTATAAAATTAAAAAGATAAAAAGAGTACTTACTGATTAGTATAGTAAGCAATATTATCGATATGTTCCTGTTTTGCCATGTCGAAATAAAGTGAACAAGAAGTTTTTTTTTTTTTTTATGAGTGGCTCATTCAATAAAATAACTAGGTTTCTATGAAGAAAAAGTTCGTGATCAAAGATGATGACGTCTTGTAACTGTTTTTTCTCTTGTCAATAGTTAAAGTATGTTTCTATATATTATTATTAATCGGTTTTTGCTCTTTTCTTCGTCTGTTCTATGAGTGCCATAAATAAATAAGAATAAGAAAAACAATAGCAATTGCTTATGTATGAATATATATATATATATATGGATGTACGCAGCCACACAACACTTCACCTAGTAGTGCACAGAAGAAGAAGATGATGATGATGATGTGTTTTTTTAAGTAAAATAAAAAAAAAAAGAAAACCAAGAAGAGAGTTTTTTTATTTCGTCGTTTGAAGTTGACGCACTCAACAGGACAGAAGTGTCTTCTACAATGATGATGATGATGAATATAAGAAGTACTTTTCTCGGCTGGTGTTGCGTTTTTTTCAACGACGAAGTGGAGGATTATTAAACTGACAAGAGAGAAAGAGAGACGAAGAAAAAAAAAAAAAAAAAAAAAGAATAGCTATGTTCATTTTTTTTTCTTTTCCTTTGTCGATTTTCTTTATTTTTCTACCAATGAATGTTCAACGAACGAATAAATTCAATGAATTTCATTGGTAGATTTGTTTCCGACAAGGCACCAAAAAAAAAAAAACAAAAACGGAAAAATGAACGATAAAAAATTGCACACATAGATATTGTGATTAACATTCGGCGCCGTTCACTTCTCTCTCAATTAAAACTTGAGATAATTGAATTGTGCATACATATTCAGACAAAATGCCACATTTCATCATGAAATAAATAGATTTATTTTTTAAATAAAGCAAAAAAAAAAAAATTAATTCTACTTGTTTATGTCGAAATTTTGAACATATTTAATATCTTTCTTAGAAACAAAAAAAGAAAGGAAATTAAGTTTTGTCTTTTTTTTTCTTCTCTCCTTAGGGTAAGTCTATCGGTTTTTCTGACTTCTTATAAACAATTCAATAAATTTTTATTAATAGAAGAATTTTCTAAGATTGATCAAATATTATTGTTGATGTTGAAAGTTTTTTTTTTTTTAAATAAATTGTAACAGTTGAACAAGCCCTGTACAAAGAAAATGTCTTACTGAATAAGTATGAATACTTTTCAAGTATTGAGGACGTGTACACTCTTATATATCCTTGCACTTTTGTGAAACCTACACTATGATATGCTAATAGACCAATCAGGATCCGGCATTGATAAGCGAATGTAACACTTGAAATTTGACATCTCGTCTTGCTTCTTATACAACATCTGTTTTCAGTACTGAGTTATATTCCTCGTGAAAAATTTTATGTTCGTTTCCCAGTATATATAGCCAAAAGTTGTTTTTGTATTTTATCATAAGTGAGGTATTCTTCCTGTGTAATAGAAAAGAAAAAAAACTACAACAACTCCCACCCTCCGCCATCCATGTTAACTGCTTCAGGCCACGCCTACCATTTGTATTGACACAAACTTTTCTTTTTCTTTTATTATTATTATTTAATCTAGAACAATGACGAATAAATATTTCATTTAAATAATTTTTTTGAAATATATCAGATTTTATTACTTTATCGAAAACAAGTTATTTTCTTGATTTCG